AGTAACATATACACATATAAGTTCCGCAAAAATTAGTGCTTTCCGACATTGCAATAATACATCTTTAAAAATATATCTATATAAATAGGGTAGGTACACTAATAAAATTTTAACTCTTCTCATTGTTGAACGTTCTTCCATCAATAAAATGCAAAAACATTTTCAGACTTTACTGTGTGATCATAACGAAATAAGTAGTTTTTGACAAAGGGCTCCTTTTTTAATATTATCCACCATAACAATTAAAACTAGGGTGACCAGACGTCCCCGATTTCCGGGGATTGTCCCCGGCGAGGACCTCGTGTCCCCGGTTATAAAATTAAAAAATTTTGTGTAAAATATTTGATAAAAATACGTTATATGCAATTTTTATTTTCTCAAAAATTTTCATACAAATTAATGTAAGCATTGAAAATTAAATGTAAACTAGTTTTTAAGAACACACTATAACTTATACTACAGAAATTTTGGAACACATAACTTTAATATCTAGTTATGTTTACATTTTTACTAGGCTGTACGCCAGACAAGTTTATATAAGAAAAGAAGTTTAAAGCAAGACGTAACATGAATATTAGTTGCTGCTTTTAAAACAATTAATATCTTGGGTTACATAAACTGCCAATATTAGCTAATTTCCACTAAAAACAACAACAATTACTACATTTCCGTTTTATTTTAGAAAAATAACTAAAACATTTTATAATCAGGTAAACATTTTATAAATATCTAACCAATAAAGTATAAAACCATTTTTTATGAAATTGTTATTATTATCACTTACGACTAATTAATTTTTATAAATTCTAATTATTCTACATTTTGAAAACCTCATAATTTGTTATCGTAATAGATATTTAGAAAAATATTTTTATTTCTTTAAAATAGATGTCAATATGGCAACATAAACAAAAAAAAGAAAATGCCATTATTTGGATGATTGGAAAAACGAGTTTCCATTTATTGAACCGAATCCTGATAATTCTTCCAAAGTAAAATGTACAATGTGTGGAGCAACGTTTTCAGTTGGAAGTGGAGGACGAACAGCTATAGCAGATCACATTCTTACAATTAAACACAAAGAAGCTTTGGCAGCAAAAACAAAAACGAAATCCGTCAAACAGTTTTTTCGTAAGCTGGAACCATCCAAAGAAGAGTTTGACTTAGCAACATATGAAGGAACGCTTGCATTTCACACCATTCGTCACAACCAATCGTTTCGCAGCATGGACTGTACTTCAAATTTACAGAAGAAATTTGTAGACAAGAAATTTTCTTGTGCCCGAACAAAATGCGAAGCTATCGCTGTCAATGTTTTTTCTCCGTGGGCATTTCTTGAATTGAAGAAAGATTTACAGTCTGTTCAATTTGTAACAATATCTTACGATACTTCCAATCACAATCATGTAAAATTACTTCCTATTTTAGTGCGGTATTTTCAGTGGGACTGTGCTAAAGATCCAATTAATAATAAACTTGTATCACTAAACGAAATTAAAGGAGAAACTGCAAAGATTTTATCTTCAGAAATATTAAACGCACTATTCGAGTTCCAATTGAAGGATAAAATGGCTGGTTTGTCTGCGGATAATACTAACACTAATTTTGGAGGATTGTTAAGAAGAGGAACAGAAAATGTTCATACTAAACTTCAAACTGAGTTAGGAAGAGATATTTTTGGTTTTGGGTGTAATGCGCATATTATACATAATGGCGCTAAAACTGCTTTTGATTGTTTGCCTGTAGATATTGAAGTTATGGTATCTAAACTTTTTAGTTATTTTAAAATTTACACAGTCCGAATTGAAAGACTGAAAGAATTTTGTGAGTATGCTGACCAAGAATATCATCAAATTTTAGGACACATTCATGTTAGGTGGTTGACATTACTTCCTGCTGTAGAAAGAATTCTTAAAATTTATTCATCTCTTAAAGAATTTATGTTGTCTGAAAAAAAGTGCCCAAAAATCTTGAAGAATTATTTTGAGAGTGAAACAACCGAGTTATGGTTGTTTTTTGCGCATTCGCATGCTGCAATTTTTAATCAAAGCATCTTGAAAATTGAAAGCGATGACAAATGTGTTATTGAATCTGGAGCGGTTGTCAAGGATTTGATATTTAAATTGAAAGCACGAAAGAATGCCAAATTTGTTCCACTTGTTGTAAAACCTGAATTGACTAAATTGATTGCTGAGAATATCATTACTGAAGATTCTTATTTAGAAACGTCGAAAGAATTCTATGAAGCTGCGATTTCATATTTAGAAGCTTGGAACGATAACAACGATGATATGTCTGATTTGAAGTGCCTTCTTTTAGATTGTAAGCCTTCACGGTCTGAATTCGACGAGGCAGTTCTGTCTCTCTCTTCAAAATGTGCAATTTTGAATGTTAATTCCGACGATTTATTTGACGAGTTTACTTATCTTGAAGGTTATTTGGATTCAAAAGACGATAAATGGTACCAATCCGTACACATAACAGACAAATGGCGCGAAATAAACAATTATTTTCAAAAAAACAATATACCATTTACAAATATCAAAAGAATTGTTGAGCTTGCAATGTGCTGGCCAAGCAGCAATGCGCCTGTAGAACGGGTATTTTCGCGCATAAATAACTATTGGACTAAAGAAAAATCGCGAATGGATGTGAATACAGTGAAAGCGGTTTTATCTGTACTGATTAATTTTGATTTTTCATGTGACATATTTTCTCAATTACTCGAAAAAAATCCTGAAATTTTAAAGAAGATTCATTCTTCAGAAAAATACGGTGTTTAGAAATAGTATAATTTTAAAAGCAATACAATTGTTTTGTTAACAGATTTTAAAATTGTGTAAAAATGTTATGATCACGATTTTAACGATATAATTTATATACTAAATTATAAAAAAAATGTAAACGAAAAAAAAAAAATATTTTTTAAGATAAATGATCAAAATTTTTTTCCAATTTTTTCTGTCGATAAAATGGGGGGTAGGGGGTAGAGATGAGTGTCCCCGGAATTGCCCGAAAAAATCTGGTCACCCTAATTAAAACACAATTTTAAATATTTTCATATTGAGCCACTCATTCTATTTTAAAAATTAATAATTACTTTGATAATGTAAAAAAATTAATTCAAAATTATAATTAAACTATAATTTAAAAAAGTTATTGGTTGTATTTTTTAGATTTAAATAAGAGTTATTTATAACAGTATATTTTAAAAAAAATCAGCAAGATTAATATTATTGATCATACTGAATTTGTAAAGATATGTAAAGAATAAGGCAAACTAAGAAAACCTTTATAAATTCATATTACAAATGTAAATTAGTGAATAGCTCCTTTTCAATGTTTATTAAAATGTGTAACTTGGTTCAGTATTTCTTGAATAAAATGATTTTACAAAATTCAATAATTTTGAAATGTAAATACAATGATTATTGAAGCTGACATTTGTCAGGAGTAAATTATTATATGGTCTCTACATTCATAACGTTAAACAAATCTGAGTTAATTGAATTTATTTCAATTGTTTTAATACTTAATTAAGAGATTAATTAATACTTTTTCTTAGAAAGGTAAATCTGAACACAAGATTTTTCATTGTATTTAGTGTTGAAATAGTGAGTAACTTCACTTTTTAAAAATCTTGTCTCAGAAAATAACTTTAAGAGCACTGAAAATTTTAAGCCTAGTAATACAATAGGTTAAAAGAAAAAAATAATCAAGTACAGAAAGAAGTTTAAAATTTCTAATGCAATTAGTGGACAGTGCTACATGTAAAAAAAAAAAAAAAATCGAAATTTTTATCTTTATTAAATTAAACAAATAAAGGAAATTGAAAAATTCAAGATGACATTGCTACAAAAGAACTTGAAATTAATTTGCTTTTGATGACATGAAATGCTAGCACAAATAAACATATTGACAACAGAGAACAAGTGACACATTCTAATCAAATGGTGAAAGTGTGGACCTAATGCAACAACCCTGAAAGTATGAGGGAAAGATTACAGGATCTTGCACTGCTGAAACCAATGTCCGCACACATTTATACAAAGATGCCCCCAACAGTTTTACAGGGAAAAAAGTCGAACTTTGCACAGTAACCCAATTAAAGAAACTTTCAAAATTTAAAAAATTACAATTGAAAGGAATTTATATATATGGATACGAAAAATTCCAGTAGATTTTACAAAATAGAAATTTCATAATATTATTGCATACTATACTAAATATTTGATATACAAGGAATTTTAGATATTTTTTGTCATCAAAATACAAAAACTTCATTTAACTTAAAACCGTAAAAGGTTTGCAACATTTTCTTGTTATAATTAAATAAATTTGAAATGTTATTATGTTTACACATAATTTGAATATTAATAGGCATTTCATTCAAAGATAATATAAAGATTTCTCAATTAATTTAAAAAAAAAGAGTTCTGAATAAAAATAAGCTGAGCTGAACATTTCAGAACAAAAAAACGTTTTAAGCTGATTTCCATAAATGAGACTTGCTTCATTCTGATTAGTATTACTTATTTAAATATTCAAGCAAGCAATAAACTGTGCAAAATTCTATTTCAATAGGGAATATTTTAGATAACTTACTCAGTTTTAGGGAATTTTATAAACTATACAAATACCAGGAGAAACTGGCAAAAACAGTCTATTGGAAAATGCAGTAAATGTTGGCAGCTATGTATATGAAATAAAATTCTAAGCATAATGAGCTGTTAATGGGATAAAAATTATTTGAAGAACTGAATAAAGAGAACAATTAAATTTTTTAAACAAATTATTTCCACATACAAATATTATTCCATCCTCTAAAAATAGTAAATTATTATAAGAAGGATGCTCTTTCACCTTTTTATAAGATAAAGGACCTATACGAAATATAGGAGGAGTTCTACCTCTGAGATAAGTATGTTGTAATATAAGAGCTGGAAAGATCTTAAAATTATTTTTTAAAGTAAATAGCTCAATTTATTATGAGAATAGGCTTAAGTTTTTCAAACTATTTTATTTAATTTTCAGCTTGAACAACAGTAGTTTTTTCTGACACATAAATACCATCTAAAAATTTTCTTATGTCTTTTTTCTTCACTAGTGTGGATTGATGGATCAATGCCGCTGGAAAGAAAGAAGCAATCATTAGAAAAACAGAAATGTCACAATTCTAAAAAATAAAAGTACTTATCATTTGAAAACTGATAAGAACCAAAAGGAATTTCTTTAAAGATACTATTTTTTAAAGAAAAATATTTTCGGTAAATTTATCAAAATTTAAAAAAAAGTTTATGCATACTGCACTGAAGAACGGTCTCATTATCATACAGTCAGGGTTCATACAGAGATCAGAAGAAGAAATCCAAGGAGTCCAAAATTTTAAGAACTTATCAAAAATTTAAGAACTCTGTGTAAAAGATAGTTTTTTTAAAAAAAAATTTAAAAGCAGTTATTATAAGGAACTTGCAAAAATGCATATTTTAATTTTAATTTCTATCCCCTTTGAAATAAATTTTGACTTTGTCAAACTTCGTCAAGAAAAATAAATTAAGTTATCACTTAGACACATAATACATTTTCAAATATTTTAATAAATCTTGTTAAAGTACAGACGTTAAGGATTGACATAAAAACCTACCAATCTTATATTTTTAAATTTGAATACATAAGAAAAATCTAAGGCATTTTATACCAAAAAAATAATAAAAAATCACAGCAAATTATTAATCAAGTTTGCTAGTAACATGTAAAATTATTTTTACAATTTTTATTCTTTTAAAAGTTTTCTTAAACTGCTAGATTTTGACTGCTAAGTCATATCCAGTGGTGCAAGTGGCTAAACATGGCTTTGGAGCAACAAAAAAGCAATTTTGCAGCAGCGAAACGAAGATTTGGAGCATATGTAATAAAAGAATTAAAACAAGAATGTAATAACAAGAATTTTCAGTTTTGTTCATTAATAACATGTCTTTTTTTTTTTCATTTTCATGAAGGTCCCAGCATTAAAAAATTAAGTTTCTATTTGGTATCTTAAAATGCTGTTAAATATTCTGCTATCCTCGACTTTTCCTCAGATAAGAGGATCTGTCCGATTTCTATACTCAACATGTCTTTATTATTCAACCCATCTTTAATATTTTTTTCAGCTGTGGCTAAGAGATTCTGAGAAGCCTTCAATTTTTTTTGCAAATCAATTTCAGCAGCTTTCAATTTGCTTTCCTAAGTTTCAGTGTTTTCACATTCCTTTTTCTCAACCTCTAATCGAGCAGAATAATTTTTAAATGCTACATGAGCCACTTTAATCATATCTTTGTCAACTTTAAAGTTATTTAAACCCCCTATTTTGTTGATATTTGACACAACTTGTCTCAAATCATTAACACTATGCGAATTTAAACTTGCCCTAGTGTCAAGTAGCTTTTCGTTCACACTAAAACTTCTTTCAACATCGGCATTCCCATGTGGTATGCACAAAAGAGATTTAAAAAGCTTTGCTAAAAGAGGATATTTGATATTTCTCAAATTTTCTTTCTTCACAAAATAGTTTTTCCAAAACATATCAATTGGTGCATATTCATTTCAGTCAGAAGAATAACCTTCTGGTTTTCTATGTAACCTTGTCCATTCATCTAGGAACAAAGATGCCTTAATAGAAGTGTCTTCCATTCTCATTATAGGATGCAACACTTTAAGATGGAACAGCAACCTATTTTCAAGAGACAATGCTTTTAATAACTTTTTTGCACATGCCATAGACCTGGCACCTAAATACATGAATTTTTTTCTGAAGATAAGGATGTCATCACATTTGTGGTATCTAGTCCAACATCTATTAAATTTGAATTTTGCCAAATATCTGCGTTTTCTACATCGAATGATTTTAAGTGCTTTCCTGACAAACTAAGAAAAGAAGAACTCTTTAAAAAAAACGCCCTAACAATGCCTTAACTAGAGACATCATTTCATCATACAGCAAGTGAATCAATGGTGTCTTAGTTTGGAAAAAACCTAAAAATTTATTTAANGAAGAACTCTTTAAAAAAAACGCCCTAACAATGCCTTAACTAGAGACATCATTTCATCAAAAAAAAGAGCTTTTGACAAAAGCAATTTTAATAAATTCAATACAGCGTGGCTCATACTATTTCCTAAATTAATAATTACTTTATTTAATTCTGTAAAAGGTAATTCAAGACTCTAATTTAACTATTATTTAAGGTTATCGAGTGCATTTTTCTTTAAAACTTTACCAAGTACAGTATTTCACTAATGAAATGATTAAAAAAATTTTTATAATTTTTAAATGCAAATTCAATGAGTATTGAAGCTAAAAAAATTTGTCAGAAGTAAATAATTATATTGTCCCTACACTCATAATATTTCACAAATATGTGACAATTAAAAATTTTTTTATATCGATTGTTTTAAATCAAAGATCATTTAAAGATCAAAGATTTTAAATCAAGAGATGAATTAAAGTATTTTTGAATGACAAATCTGAAAAACCTAAGATTTTTTGCTGCATTTAAAATATTGAAAGCCCCTCTCTTCATGCTTGCCTCTAAATATTATTAAGTTTTTCCTTGAACAAATTAAGAGCACCGAAAATTTTGAAAGTAATAATACAATAATAAAATGCAATAAGTAAAAAACAGAAAAATATTATTTAAAAAAAAAATCAATTAAGTAAAATCAATGTTTAAATACAATATGATTTAGTGGATGGTCCTTCAGATAAAAAAATTACATTTAAGAAACTCAATTAATTTTCATCTTTATTAAATTAAATGAATAAAGGGGAGATGGAAATTTTGAGGTTATGAAGCTTTGTGATTCTTGACTGCTGAGGATCAACATGAAAATATGTACTTAGTGAATGGTTCCTCAAATTAATTCAAAGATCATGGTACTAATCTATAAATAGAACAGCGCATGAAGGCCATTAGCTTGCCATTGACGAAGTTGATAGCACTTCAATAACTATGAAATAAACAAGAGAAATAGAATTTTCTCTTGCCATTAAAATTTGGCAATGTTTAGTTGGTCCCCGAAAATTCGACAAGTTTCGGTTACATTTCAGAGAGTGGAAAATGAAGCCTGAAATTGAGAATATCTTGCAAAATAAAGCAGAGTTGCACATGAAAGTGCAAGAATCCTTCCCACTGAATCCTGAGCAACCCACATGGCAGTAGCTTGGTTGCCGCAAANATTCGACAAGTTTCGGTTACATTTCAGAGAGTGGAAAATGAAGCCTGAAATTGAGAATATCTTGCAAAATAAAGCAGAGTTGCACATGAAAGTGCAAGAATCCTTCGCACTGAATCCTGAGCAACCTACATGGGAGTAGCTTGGTTGCCGCAAAATATCCTTTTTGGAGCAATTTAAGCCAACTACTTCAATTTGGAGCATGTGGGAGCAGGTTTCCACAACTGGCGTGGATCGGTGCAGCACTTGCACCACTGCATATCATTTAGTTTCCCAGCTACGACAGCAAATTCATCAGCGGACTTAGCAAGTTCATCTATGCAAAGCAATAATCTAAGGAGTTATCTAAGGACTAATTTGGAAATATAAGTTGTTCCAAGTACTCCTGGGAGACTTTTATTTCCAAGGAGTCAGTACGCACCCTGCATATAGTGGACTTGTCTAAAATATGGGCAACAAAGCTAGTTAGCATAAATATATTTCTCTATGAACTATGCCTTTCACAAAATGTAAAATCTTTTATGTTACTTGAAATACGTAACAATAATTCAAAATAAGTGTTATCCAAGGAATGTCACCATGTTGTAACTTGGACTGCCGGTTCTTTTAAAAATATATTTTTCGTATATGACATACGAAATACATATAAGTATACGACAGAATTCTTTCACAAAAAATGTAAGTAAATTATTATCTTTTAAAATGTAAGTTATTCAAATTTTTCAAAAATATGTTAGACAAGAGAAAAAACCAATCAATCTCATCATTGCCTTTTTATATATGCTGTTTGCAAGTCCTTTCAAGTTAGCTCTCTTCTGTTCACTTCTTCTCAAAGCATTTGATTTAATAATAAGAAGCTCGCCTTCTCACTAGAGTCAGCAGCAGATTTCACCAGCTTTGCAATATCAGCTACTTCAAGCTGCTTTTTGTTTCTCAAGATATTGTGAATGTGACTATTTTATCATCAACACTTTTCACTACTGAACTGTTGTCATTTTGCTACATTAGAATGTTTTTAATTTTTTTACTTCCATGGACCTATTTCCAAACTAATGTGGCGTCATCAAAGACTCATCACATCAAACGTCATCTTCATTAAAATGCAATGCGGCTGGAAGAAACTGATCTTTCATGATGCAAATCAGCTTTCCCGGACTGTGCGCACCTACACTCAAGAAGGATAAAAACCAGCTCACCGTCGATCAGTATGCCACTTGGATTTCAGCTCTCACCCGGAGATGTGTGCTGGACCTAAGCCACTGAGTCCCGAAGTACTGATGTCTTTCTACTTACTTTGATGATGGATTTAATGTTTTAACACAAAATAAAATAGTTAGTGTTCAATTTAAGGGAAGAGTCAGAAGTAATAAAAAAAATCACTATCTTGAAGAAAAAAAGCACCCATCAGCAAAAAATGACATATTACACAAAAGAATTACACACTAAAGAGCTCAAAATTTTTTCTTTCATGAAAAAAAATTTTAATTTTTGAAGATAAACAGTTTACTTCTCTGATAAGTTTGCATGCTCTATAAATCAATTTTAAAATTAGTATAGTTTTGTCCTTGAAAATGTTAGGCACGGCGCGTGCATTGTAATAAAAATGTCAGATTTTTAAAAACTATGTAGAGATAACCAAAAATGAATGGCAGAAAAAGCTTTGTTTTCGACGTGCGTAACTTTAAGGTGCATAGCAAGTGCACCAAAAAGTAATACATACTTTAGATTTGAAATATGCACCCAACATCAAATAACAGGGTGCATAGCCAAATTTTTCAACAAAAAATAAGCACCTTTTAAGCAGGGTTGGCAAGTTTTTGACAATTGATGGCTTAAATCATTGTGTCAAAAAAAAAAAATAAACTTTAGAAAACTGTCAAAAATCACCCAAAATTTTGGCATAAGGATAAATATGTAGT